TATTGACTTTAATTTCAATTCGCAACTCAATCTTTATCTTGTTCCAGCTCTTGTAATTAGAGAGAGAGAGAAAAAAAAGTTAATTGAACCGATATTAAACATCAGTATTATAAAAACGAGCATGAATGATATACCTTGTGAATGATCGAAACCACAATTTTATCGATATCTCCTACCGCTTCCCTCCACCGCCGCTTTCTTTTTCGTTTACGATTGAGCTTAATTACTTTTCGTAGATAGGTGTTTTAAGACCCTCGCTGTTCTTATTTCTCCGCAGGCGCGTCTTTCGTGCGATTTTCGTCGGCGCGAAATTTTTTCTTTTTTTTTGTTTTTTTTTTTTTCCTTTTCTTTTGTAAACTTAATAAAAGACGCAACGTAGATAGGTAAAAGAAACCCCACTTCCTTTCGTAAAACACTCGCAAACACTCTGGAAACTTTCCGCGTTAGGCAATCTCCCCCGTTTACCGTCGTAGGAACGCGCGCCGTGGAAAACGGTGTGCAAAGACGGCAGTTGCAACAGACGCTGTTTCGAGATTCGCTTAATCGTTGGGCCTTGAGGGCCTAGACCCAGTTTTACTCGGAATTGCATTAGATGCTACGACCAAACTCTGCTCCGCGGCATTTCTGTCTTGTCACAATTCCATGTCTTGACGAATGCGACGCAATCGCGAGCGGCGGAAAGCCCCGAAATTGGAGCATCGATCGAGAGCTAGCCTGTTTATAACTCGATTCAATTTAATTTCATTACACGTATTGCGCGCATCGTGTGTGTGTAACTGATCCCATATTAATAAATTAATCCTGAATTAAGATATAATTAGAAACAAAGAAATTATCAAGTAATTTTCGCGTCAGATGTTATTATTATATATAAATTTAGTAACGAAGGGGGAAGTTTCATAAAATATCTCTTTACGTGGAAGAAATTATTATGGCATATATTTACATATGCACTGGAAAAAAATTTACTAAATTTTAATACACATTTTTTTGTATATGTGCTAAGTAAATATAAAACTTACAGTGAATCAATGTTTATTAAAAAAAAAAAAATAGTTAAATCAAATTAATAGTTTCTATATCAAATAAATAGAGTCCGACCGAAATTTCGGTTTCGGTCAGTTTTTGGGGCAAAAATCAGGTTTTCGGTTCGATTTTCGGCCGAAATTAAGAGAAAATTTTAAGAAAGATACAGAGAATTTATACAGAGAAGTTGTTTAAAAAACAACTGTTTGATTTTCATTATTAATTTCGTTGATTACGCTCAAGACAATTTGAGTACAAACTTCAATGTGATCCTAACTGTTTTGATTTGATTTCTTTAAAAGTTGAAGATGCAATATTATTATATTATTATAGTTAGATATTTTAATAAAATCTTCTTTTTTAAAGAGTACATAAATTTATCATGATTTTTGAAAATCAATTCGTTCTCGGCCAAAATTGAGTGACAACCGAATATTTGTTTTTGATTTCGGCCGAAATGTGAATTTCGGTCGGGCTCTACAAATAGATACACGTTTACACATTTAGTAAATATTTACTTGGAA